TGCTGACTGTTTCTTTGAAAACATGAAAATGCAAGTCCCCCAAGGCCAAAACTAATATCTCTTTGGCAGGGCGAAAACAACAACAGTGTTTTAATAAACACTCCGAGATGATCACAACTAAGATGACCATCTTGTTCTGGGACGCAGGATTACACTGCTGTGACAGAAAAGTGATTGAGCAGCTGCAGCTACTCTCGGGTTTGCACAGCAGATGGGGAGAGAGGGAAAAAAAAAAAAAAAAAAAAAAGGCACTAAGTCTTCCTTGTTCTAAAGAGATTGACCTAAAGAGGTCAAACTGTGATCACACCCTAGCCTCTGCCTTTCAGTTAGTTAAACTTAATACAAAATGTAATATTTTTCTTACTAAAACCTTCTGGTTTGGGACACAGAGAAGAAAAAACTGCATTAAATCTTTGAGAAGTGTCAATGGGCTTTAAAAACAATGCTTAAGAAAACCCCTAGTATTTAAGTGCCATTTCATCAGCTTTTGTTTTTCTCTCCCTGGAGTACTGTCCTTCCTATGAAAGCTCTCTCTTGATTCCAACTAAGCTTGCTCCTGATAATAGTTCATCACACTGGAAAAGAGAGCCAATGTTTCAGCAATTACCTAATCAGGCTCTCGGGTTTTGCTTTGTTTTGAATAAAGCCCTAAAATGACAGTTTCTTCTTCCCATCTTCATCCAGTCCCCTGAAAAGGCCACCCCTGCATAAAATATAAACTGTAAGGATAAAAGATGGTAGCTAACACAGTAAATTGAGAAGAAAGGGAGCTATGAGCAGATAAACTTAGTGGACAATTTTCTTAGAGAAAAAAGTCATTAATTTGCAAAATTTACTAGCACAGCTGCTGTATGATGCTGTGCCAGAAATGCAACGCGCCCATCACGCATTTCTAGCAATTCCTATACCTATACTATGGCATGAGATATGCCAGCAGTATGCAGGTGGCCCCATAGAAACACAGCAGGGATTAAAAACTTAACAATTAAAGCATGACCTGAAACAGTAAATTAAGTTTAGATTTTTTTTTACGTGCGTATTTAAATCCAGAGTCCTTTATGGCATCATTTCCAAGTAAAAGTATCTTCATCAGTTCACAAATCGTTCACTACTGAGGCCAATTTGTTTTCCCCTGGTCCTTCTAAACTGAAGATAACCTTAAAGCATTACACTTCATCCTGTGCACAACTGACCTGTACGTAACATTAATTCATAAAACAATATGCTTGAAACAGAAAACATTAATGCAAAAGCAATTTAGAAAAGGACTGCCAAAATAAAGAGGTCTTTTTTGCTGTGCTTTCAGGACAGTAGCAACGTAAGAAACGGTTGGATTTTGTACAGGTAAGCAGCTGAAGCAGATGCATGGCCTATAGTAACAAATTCAGTTTTATTAAGAAGTTTTTAAATTGTCAGACTGTGGAACATGTGAAAAACAAGTTCACAGAAAAATAATCAAAACAAAAAATATTACACAGTACCTTTCACACAAGGATACTCTGCGAATAAAATAATGTTTTTTTATGTTCCAATAAGAAAGGTTAAGTGATACTACAGCCTACAGTACTGCCCCAAATACATGTAGCTATTACCCCTAAATATTTCTGGACATATTTTCATATGTTCATGTGTTCTATACTATTCCATTTTATTCACTGATGTTTTATAGCAAAGGAATCTATGTGAAAAATATGAAATATTTAACTTGAATAAAGGCTAGCAGAAAGGTCTGAAAGAAAGATAACTTAATATCCTGAAATAAGAACCTTGCATAAAACTTGCAACCAAACAAAAGTAACCAGGTGATTTTTGCTGTAAATGCAGCATATGAACACATGCGCTATATTTTTAGTCACAGAAGTACTCGAGTTGGGTGAAGTTACTTCACAGTAGACCCAAAATTTTCATTCGGACAACAATGTTTTATTCTACAAGCTTTCCGACGAATTCAAGGCACCCATTTACACAACAAGATACAATTCAAAATGAATAAAGGCTTCATGAGCTAACCCATCTGTCCTTTTTATGCTGTATTCAACACATCATTACTATCTAAGTACTAATAGAGCAGTCCTCTGAGGTTAGGGAATAAAGGGGAATTTGGGAACATGAGCCATCTCCTGCCATTACGTCTGTGCACAACCGTTTTAAGGCCACAGGCCTGTTGCATTTGAGAGCACTAATGAGGAGAGCAGTTTCTGTCAACTCGGCACACCTTCCCCAACTCAACTGGGTGATTCAATGCACCACGAGGGTGAGTTTTGAAACACAGAACATTTCTGCCACCTAGAGACTATCTGTAAAAATGCTTTTGCAATCAAAGAATCTCTGAAATTTCTCTAGTTAGCGGACATAAGTGAGTCGTTTAAAATACTGTTAGTATTACTGTAAGCATTACTTTAAGTGAAATCTTTTTCAGCTACAAGAGCATACAAAAATTATACTGAAATTCTCATTACGACTGTAAATTGTAATCTTCTTAACACTGACAAGAATGTTCAAAGGACTTCAGCACAAAAACAAGAATTGAGAGCAACTTTAAAAAGATTTCTTACAGCTTTCTTTCAAATATATTGTTGTTGAAATAGGTATAAGATCTTAATTTTTCAAAAAAAACAAGCAAACTAACTGCACTAGTAACATTGTTCAGGAAATAACACATGGGACATAACACAATAAGAAACACTGAACATCCTAAATAAGGGGTCCATTTGGAGAAGAGAGCAGGAGTGAAGGGGAGAAAAAAAAATCATTCCTGTGATTTAAAACCAAATACAGAAATAAAGAAAATCACAGAGGAATTATGTTCTGAGGTAGAGTAAGATTTTGTATTAGGTAAGTTTGCAATTGTGTGTTATATCCACGGCAAATGCCACCTACCAGGAAAGCAATAATCCTTCTAGCTAGGTCAGCTATAATCACCCCAATCATTTTAGTCGGTTCTCATCACCATGCACAATAAGGTTTCCAAAAGCAAATAAAAACAAGCCAGCAACCACAACAACAACAAGAAAAAACCCCAAACCACAAAGATTATAAAATTTAATACATGCGACTCTCATTCATGCTCTCTAAGCTGAAGTTAGACTTGAGCCCAAGCTCATTCTGTAGTAACACCCTTTTCATAATACATGGGGTACATCAACCTTCTTTTCCCAAGGTGAGTACAGACAACTAGAACATTACAACATAATTGCAACAACCAAAATGAAACTGATGAGAAGCGATGGAGGGCTCCCCCCAAGAGCTATTGAAAAAAAATTGTTCTTTTCAACACAGCCTCCTAGGCTTCCAAACCAAGACTTAAAAAGACTATCAGCTACACAGTCTAATCTAAGCACTTCCAAAAAGAATACAAAGTACCAGAATAAGGCAGAAGATAAATACTGTTTCACTTAGGCTTACTACATTAGGAATGAAAATGCCAGAGAAATTATTTTTTTATCTTAAAGTCATAGATCAGAATATTCTCTTTTTTATGTAGAGTAAATATTAAGCAAGGAGAAGATTAACCACACAGACTGAGACAGACTCTAATTTGACAGTCTGCAGAAAGGAAGCATCAAGAAGCAATAAATGAGACTTTTGCTTCAACCTATATCTAGCAAATAAGTAATAGGTACACAAAGAAACAATCTTCTATTGACAGAGAAATAAGATTTGCAATTCGCACTTCATGTAACTAAGCTATAGGCATGAGTTTGATAAAAGTGCGATCTCATAGCAAGATATAACACACTAAAATAAATAGCGTGTTATTAACAGATAATTGGATAAGGAGTCCCTATTTGATCACTCTTCAATCTCACACAAAGCTAATCCCATTAAAAATTCTTTTTTTTACCCCAAATTCACATTTGCCCCATCTAATGTTTATAGTCCTACTCTGATGCTCTGTCCCTCAGCCCCTTACAAGGGCTAAGTTCCCTACAGGCAACAGCAGCAATTGGGAACAGGTAAATAAAACAAAACATGGGCAATCACTAGTTGTATAGATCCAAATGAACAATCACCTTCCTGGAATGTATCCAGGTAAACAATAATTTGAAATGCCTTTTAGGTCATTCAAAACTCCTACTGCCTTGTTGTACCTTAAGCAGACATGCAGCAGCCTCAGGGAGGGCAGCAGAGAAGCGATTTGGGAGGTGTCTTAAAGGAGGCCAGGAGACCCACAAACGCTGCAGCCTGGATCAGTCCTGTGCAGGTGCTGCACCCATGTGACACGCGCTGCGCCCACTCCAGCGCACGAGCTGGGCCCACCTGGAAGGGCTGCGTGGCAGAGGCGAGAGTGTGGCCAAATAAGAGAGGAATTTCTTAAAAACTGCCAACAACTGTGGCTGATAAAAAAGCATGGAAAGGGAATTCAAAACCATCTCCAGCATGAAGCCCTTCGGCTGCTTTTGCAAACTGTTTTAAACTGGCTAGACCGTCGTCTGAGTCCCCAAAGCAGCCATGCTGCATGTCTCTACACAGGAAGCTACTACAGCAAAAAGGAAAACTGTAAACTAAACAAACAAAATCTGGACCTGAAAAGTGATTATATAAAAATGTCACTTTATTCATAAACCCTGGAAGATTATACTAAAGTCTTAGGGAAGGTCAACAGATACTTAAAACTGGATTTGCTGGATGACTCACTGCAGATTAAAGCAAACACTATTTTCAAAACTAAGGTAGAACTGCTTAACAATCACACAGAAAACCACCAAAAAAATGACACAAAAAAATCTAGTTCTAGAAATTCTCAAGAAAGGATGGATGCCTAGATTTCAAGTGTCAGGCTTTAAAAACAAGTCATCTCAGAAATTCAGGAAAGAGATAGTCAGGAATCACTGCAATATGCAAGTACAAGTTATGCAAGAGTAAAGGGGCAGAGGGGCTGCGGATAAAGAAACTAGCTGTGCATTACAGAAAGCCTAGAGTCAAGCAAAGTAAATACAACGAATGATATCCTGACAGCTACCAAATCTAACAGGGACAACAATATATTCCACAGAGACTTCCACAGAAAATACCTTAATTGTGAGACCGAAGTTACCTTAAGGCCTGAACAAATGCCAGGAAGGTGAAGCAGAGATTAATTATTTAGCTATCATAAGCATTTGCTTCTGGCCAGAGAAGTCAAAAAAGGAAAAGCATCTCTTAGCCCCTAGCAGTCTCATCTATTTTGAGATGCTGCTGCTCAATACTCTAACAACAGTATCAATGCACTCAAATTCAATATTCTTGCTGGAGTGAGGAAAAAAAAAAATCCACATGCAGGAAAAAGTCCACCATGGTTTAACTTCAAATAAGTGGAACTGCATAATAATGAGGATGCTTTTCAAAAGAAAATTAAAAGCATCTAAAAGGGGGAGAATGCAAGCACTGTAAAGACTTCTGAAGATGTGAAAAGAAACGGGAGCTCATGTGAAAGGTGTAAAAAAAAAAAAAAACCCTGGCAGTTATATAAAGCAGAGAAGGCTATTTGAAGAAAAAAGCCAGCTTCAGAATTGTAAAATGCAACCAAAGAAATACTAAATATTCCATGAATGTAAAGTTAGATCACTGCCAGTTAAACAGAATTCTGAGTACATCAGAAACAGGAAAAGTGTCAGAAAGCTTTTTTTTGTGCTGGGGCCTTCCCAGCACAAAACTTCCTAAAGTTTTCCTTTCCTATTGTAACCTACCTGCAACAGTGTTTATGACAGGGAAGTCTGGCTAAGTCCACACACAGAGACTTTCCTCTGTTGAGAGGAGAGCTTGAGGAGCTGGCCCAAACCAAAGCAATGGGCAAGGGTGGGCTCACAGCTCATTACCACTCACCGAAGGCTTCTGAAGAGAGAATTCAGGTACTAAACAGTCTCGCACTAGATGGTGCATGCTTACTGCTGAAGTTACCATTGCTTTTTACATTCATTCCAGTAGGATTCAAAAGACACCAAATAAATCCATACTAGGCAGAATGTGATTGGTTGCAATAAAAAGAACTAGCAGGCACATTAGCAAGTCGGACATCACGCAGAAAAGTCAAAAGGGCTTTTGCTGCAGGATGTTCAGCTTCCTTGATCAAAGTTCTTCAATGAGACAAGTAGCAAGCAATCTGCTTAAGACAATACACCTAAGTTCCCAAGCAGCTTCCATGGGGCCTTCACAAAGGCTTTTCCAAACCTTTCCCGCTGCTCCAGTGTTTCTTACACACAGACAGAAACACTAAAACTTCACGTTATGTTAGATTTTGCATAAAGCACTAGAACAACTCACTGCTATTACAAGGACAGAATAATTAACCCTTTTCCTGTGAAATCCCCCTCTTTTCACCAATTTCTCATCTGTTTTAAACCAATAGGCTTGCGCAGGGCCACAAAGATGATTAAGGGACTGGGGCATCTATCTTATGAGGAAAGACTAAGCAAGCTGGGCCTGTTTAGTCTGGAGAAGGGAAGGCTGAGAGGAGATTTGATCAACACGTTCAAGTACCTGATGGGTGAACGTAGGGAGGATGGGGCCAGGCTCTTCTCTGTGGTGGCCAGTGACAGGACAAGGGGTAACGGGTGTAAGTTGAAACACAAAGTTCCATCTCCATGCAAGGAAGAACTTCTTTCCTGTGAGGGTCACAGAGCGCTGGAACAGGCTGCCCAGAGAGGTTGTGGAATCTCCTTCTCTGGAGATCTTCCAAACTCACCTGGATGCCACCCTGTGCCAGGTGCTCTGGGTGTCCCTGCTTGAGCAGGGGGGTTGGACTAGATCTCTAGAGGTCCCTTCCAACCTCAACCATTCTGTGAGTCTGAGTGATTTCATAAGAGCCTTCCCAACTGCAGAAATCAACTAGATCTCTAGAGGTCCCTTCCAACCTCAACCATTCTGTGATTGAGTGATTTCATAAGAGCCTTCCCAACTGCAGAACTCAAGCCAGTTTTTTGAGAGGAACCAAGTGATTATCTGGCATCTTTTGAACAGCTGAAGCAAGAATTTTAGGATATAGCTTGCTGCAATATGCTTAAAATAAGAAACAAATATTTTGTCCATGTGCCAACAGCTTTCCAACTTACCTTTACAAAGCACTCTAAGCATAATTCCCCCAACCATCTGTAGATATCAGGCTAAATAACCTTCTTTTCTCACTTCTGTATTTGCTTCATAAAAGTAGTTACGTGGCTAGAGTATTACCTTGCCTGTGCTTTGCAAGATTGTAGTTCTTGTCCTCCACACTCTCTCTCTGCTGACAATATCCCTGGTTACGTCCACCTCAGCATCCACAAAACTTCTCTGTTTAAGAGCAGTTATGTCATCATCCAGATCAGTTTTGATAGTCGATCTTTTCTTTGCCATGATTTTTGCTTTGATAGCAGCGATTTTTTCCACAGACATGGCTTCAGATAAGGACCTAAACAAGCAAAAATAGCAGAAGAGACTGAATAATAGCACAAAAGCTTCTCCTGAAAAAAACTGACTTCTTAGACATATACTTAGAGATTACATACAAGCTGGCAGTACCACTTTGAAAACTAGAACCATTTTTCAGCAAGGCGACTCTGTACAGGTCTACAAGTCTCCACACAGCACTAAAAAAAACCTTGCTATAAGAAGCAGTAGGGAAGACCACAAATTCCAAGCGCCATTTACACTGCTAATTGAAGCTGAGCTCCCTGTTACTGAGAGTGGATCAGTCAATGAACCCCTGGTTGTTGCGAGGTGCACAAAGCACTAGTCTAATATCTGTTGGAAGTTCTGCAACAGGGACTTGGCCACCCAGAAAATCAGTGTTCCCAGATCAGAGCATGTTGGCCAAACAAACAGCAGATAGTAGCAACTTTGTCTTCATTCAAGTCATATTTGCAGTGTCTGGCTTAGTCCAGGACTGTGATATCTTCACCTGTGTTTGCTTTTAGTTGTACACACAGCAGAATTGGAGGGCCAGTGAGCCCTATTTCTTTACAGGTGAGCTGAAGAGTAAAAAGGACTGAATACTGAACCCACCCAATCCAATTTTACATGGTTTTTTTTTTTTGAGATCACCGTGAAAAGTTAATACAAGCACTGGGTATGAAACACCCCACTTGTGCAGTTAAGCTTCTGAAAAAGGAACTTTTTTTGCTGCTAAGTATACAGTAACAAGAGTGATGTGCACACATTTCAACCTCAGTGCTTGTGTTATTTGCACTATTAAAAGGGCAATTTTACACCTTGTATTAAAAGCCAATAACTATGGAACGTAATTACATACATAATTCTCATTGCAGCACTATCTAGTACTCAAAAAAAAAGATGACCTGATACACTCAAACTAGCATGCAATTTATTAAAGTAGCTTATACAAAACAATGAATCTATCATCACAGTTCTGACTTTTAGTCAAGATGGAACAATCAAACCTCTTTCTGCCATTTGCTTTTAAATACATCCACACATGAGACAAAGATGATCGAAAGTTATTTTATATCCACGCAGGTATAATTGTGTACTCTGTAAACACTTAGCATGTTAATGTTGAAAAAGTAAAGTGATAAATTTAATTCTGACAGAGGGTAGACAACATACCTAACTGCAAGAAACAAATTCCATTTGATAGACCACACACATTCTTGAGAAACTTGTTATTTATAAGATTCAACTCCGACAAAGCAGACAGTTAATCCATACTCACACACTTAACCGCAGGAAGTACAAATCCTATTTTACATTCCAAGAGCTGAAGCACAACAGATATTAAGCAAATTGCTTTATCTTAGACTTTTGAACTTACATAACTGACAATAAACTCTGAGGTATCCTGCAAAGTGTTTACTAAACCTAAAACCCTTGGCATCAAGGAGATGTCGCTATAACTTCATTTCCTCTCTGCTTGACTTCGGCAAAATATAACCCAAAAGACAAGCGTCATTCTCTGCAGAATTCTCAATGAGTACAACAGAAAAAGAAAGGTGATCAGACATAAGTTTGAAGCACTTGAAATATTAATTACTACTTATGGCAATAACTGCACATTATTCTTAGCCAACTATCTATTCAAGAACAAGGACTAAGAGGTCTTGTCACCCCTGCATCTGCTTTTATAGTGTTTTCCCTCTTTTGAATGCAATACACATGCTCAATTGAGCTTTGATTTTTTTTTTCCTTTGAAATAACAGCACAAAATCACCGGATTCCCCTCAAAACCCTTCTCACTATATCAGACTGCTTAAACACCATGGCAGAAGGAAGCATAAATGGCAGATTAGAGGAGAAAAGCAAACTGTCTGCTCGCTTCCGAAGACCGGCAGATAATCCCACGCTGCGAGCTCTGAACTTCCAATCAAGACCAGTATTTTGAACAGCCACACAAAATTCTGTCTCCTCAAGAGCTACTGATGCTAGCAGCTAAAGAAAGAAAACTTTCACTGAGAGCTGCTAGGCAGAAATAAGAATGGGTGTCCTGAACAGAACTGTTACCTTTTATTAAGACCTTTAATTAAGTATTAAGTCTTTAATTAAGTATTGTCTATAGGAAAAAACATTCCTACCTGATCTGCTCTGTTTGCACGATACCTTCTTTATGCCCTTCCAACCGAGCTGCCAACCGCTCCTTATCGAGACGCACACACTCTTCATCCTAGTAGTGACAGTAGTGTTTATTTTTTGTGTTCTCTTTTTAGCAAAATAAAAATACAATTAAAACTATTCAGTTTAATTTTTTGGATAAACAAAGACTGTATTTATTTCCAAACATTTTTGTAACTATGCACTAATGTTAACTGTGCAGCTATTGAAATTTTCCTAAGAACCATCACACATAATTAGAACAACACAAACAAAACTACCACTCCCTTCTAAAAGGCCTTGTTCAAAAGAAATGAAAACAGCCAGACAACTAGAGTTGGCAACCAAAGCACATATTTATATAGGAAATACATACACACACATACTTAAGGTAAACTTATCTGACTCAAATTTGCCTAAATACTTAATCAATGATTTTCTTTATAATTTACATCTTAATGCAGAACTTTTATAAATGACATTCCTAATGCACATAAAGTCACAAGTAAGGAAGCCTCTGGTTACTCAAGGTGGGTCTGAGAGACTCATAAGTAGAGGAAGCAGTAAAGAGGGATCTAGTTTCACATCATCAGTTTCTTAGCGCAGGGGCCACTTGCAGTCCATTTGATTTGCTCACCAGCAAAGCTTAAATCAGCATCAAGTTTGTCTTCCTGCTAAAAAGCTCTTTAAAAAGCCTGAAGTCACAATCATTTATTAGGAAAGATCTTGGATCTCTGCAATGAGATGTTCTTTGAACAGCTTGTAAAAAATGGCTCTGAGCTGGCAGAGCCAGTAAAGAAACAGAAGATGACCACAAGTTGTATTAGGACCACACACGGATTTCTTCATTCTCCAAATCATCATTTTGGAGATCTGTAGTTTCAAAACAGATTAACATCACAACCACATAGGGTAATGAAGAACTAAAAATCATCAGTAGGTCATCTCAGAGTGAGCATCTGCTCATGTACCAATAAGAATTCATAGTTCTTATAATTCTTTTGCAGTTGCAATGAATGAATATTCAAATCCAACACTGGAATAAGTGATTTTATACACTATCGGTAATTCTCCATCTAAAAGGAAGTCCTCAATACCCTGTAAATACATACAGATGGACTTATAATAATATACGGAGGAGATTTAACTGGATGAGCATAGTTAAAAAAAGAAAAAAGTATTACATCAGTTTCTAAAAAAAGCTGTGAATGAGCAATTATGTGTGTATAATAACAAGAAATTGCTTTTAATAAGAGGTACACTGTTAAACTAATTACCTATGACATCGCACCAGACAATTGTAAGCACCAAGGACAATAGTTTCTTATACTCCTACCAAAAAAAACTAAAATAACTGGTAAAATAAATACAAAATATCTAATGACAGAGCTAAAACTAACATATAATTTTACAATGCCAACTTATGAACAGCAAACCACAGTAATCAATTACTAAATAGCATTTAGATTCCAAACACAAAATTTGTGTTAATAGGCAGCTTTTCAACTAGATCTATAGTACATAAATGCACAGGCTCTTACAGGTGCATGTGGCCAAGCTTTCTCCTTTTATACTAGGATATACATTTAACACATCGGAATTTCTAGCAAGTAAGATTCTCGAGTTTAAATCAGAGGCTGAAATTCTTAAATTCAAACTCTTTCCAGTTCACTTACACACATGCACACCTAGAGGATAGGTTGCTACAAAAATAAATACAAATTATTTCCTTCTCCCCCAAACTGTTCCTGTCATTACCTCTATTCTTGGTTTCTTTGCTTCTGCTAGTATTTCGTCTGCTGCTCTTTTAACTACAAGAAAGAGAGGATGTTAAAAATAGAAGATTGCAGTACACTTTCATAAAACATACCTTAAAGTTATTTTTTAGTTAAACTGTACCTTGAGTGGATCGCTGAAGGCCAATCTCAAGTGGAGCACTTCTATCTATACTTGATGAGGTTGCTGTAATCAAACACAACATCTCATTTAAGTACAAAGTTTTAAGAGTAAAAGGCCATATGACAACAGACTGCAACAAGGGAAATTTCAACTAAGTATTTGGGGAAAAAATAATAGCAAGGGTGGTCAAACATTGAACCTTCCTTGAAAAGAGATTTGAACCAGATTACTTCCAACAAATGTGGTCCCTTCCAACAAATCTGCGAATGATTTTATAATCTGTGTACAGAACACAGAAGCTAACAGGGTCGAGGAACTCTTTTATCATCTGGAATCAAGATCTACTAGTTTGTCTATAATACAATAAAACAGCAGTAAGCTGGTTTTGTATTTTCACAGGATGGTCTTTCTTTCAAAAACTGGAGAATCTCAAATATCAGCATATTTTAATATATTCTAAGAAAAAATACAAAACACAGCAAATCGAAACAGAAATCCATATATATCTTGCTCTGGACACAGGAAAAATCTCTTAAGTCTGAATATTGGTAACAAAAAGAAAATTAAGATGACTAAATACCAAGGAAAAAATGCTCAGCTGAAGAGGTAGTTATTTGACATGTTGTTACACTGAAGAATTTATCAATAACATATGAATTTTGGTGTGGGATAAAGTTTCCCACAATCTATAGGGAAAGGAAGGAAAATACAAACACTGAGTATTCTAAATAATAAATGAGCAGCTCAGTTCCAAAGCTGCATGCAAAAATGAGCTCCTATCCAAGTACTAATAAAATAGTTAAACAGACCAAAATTAAAAGAAAAAGTACTTTCATTTGAGCATTCCTGGCATATTTAGTTAAGCTATAAGTAGACTGCTGTTTACTGTCCTTATTCACAGATGTCCCATAAATATGAAGTTAAGTAAAAATATCACTCACAAGTTTCCCCATTTAGGTAGGCTAGCAGATCTTTCCTATCAGGTCGTCTTACCACCGGAATGTTTTCAGTCTGAAAAGAGAGCAAACTTGACATGAGGCCATTATTCCCTCAGAAGGTCCCTGGCTGAAGATATTTCACTTTTACTGAAAATTATTTATTCATACAAACACAGGAGCACAGGTGTTCTACCTCCCAAGCAACCACAGCCACTCACCTTAAATACAATTGCTTCGTAGAGAATATTGAACTAAAAAAAATGTTATCCAGTATAAAACTAGAAGGAAGGAATGGCTTTTTCTTCATTTGAAAATTGCAAATAAGTAGTAGTAGTAGGATTTTTTAAAAATACACATGTGAACATGCACACACGCACACATACACACACTTCATTGTAAATCTATTTACCTCTCCCCAGGGAAATTCAGCCATTTAAACACTACTCTCATGCCCTGATACTCACCACACTCCTCACAAACTCACAAATAGATAGTGCATTTGGCTTTGTTTTTTTTACATATGCACACACACAAGCATATGCGCACACACACCCCCAGTGTGTATCTTCTTCCCTTTCCCCTGCCTAATTCAGACATCATTTCCTGATAATAACTATGCCTGCATCACTCATCACAACCAAACAAGAAAAATACCATATGGTCCACTTACTGCAGCACGACGGACATAAACAGGATGTGAAAGGTGCACATTGTTGAGCAGGAACAAGATAGAATCCAAAGTGTAGTATTCCCTGGGCTGGCCTTCTTTGCCTGTCCTGTAACACCATTGGGCAAAAAGGAAAAAAGAAAAAACAAGTTTAACATCTAACCTCAACACATACTCATTTAGTGAATGCCTCAATTCTTAGTACACAGCGATTCAAAAAAAACAGGCATCAATATTATAGTCAGGCTACTACAAACTGCTGAATTATTGCTTGTATTTGATAACACAAGTGGTCAAATGCAAATCTCTACACTGATTGAATAAAAAGAAGTAGAAAAATCAGAAATATGATATAATGGACAAGAACTGAAAAACCATAAGGAGATGTTCCTTTACATTGACATCCATTGTTTGTCAATGGCACTGGCTGCCTTATTTGGCAGAAGCAATGTATTTCAAATGAAAAACATCTTCTGATATAATGAGACAATTTGTAAAACTGAGGATATCACAGGGAAGAATTCAAAGTATGCAGATTCAGTGAACTTTACCAAGCACAAGGTTCAAAACAACACCAAAAGATAGTGTGACTGTAAACTAACTGCGCTCTAAACTAGTAGCACAGATTACAAAACTGCAGGGAGTTTCCATACTCAAGTTCAAACTCAGCTTCACAGCAGCTTGTTTGAAAAGTCTAAAAAGGAATTTGTGCTGTGTAACAGCAACTCCCCGCACAAAACCAACCCAAACAAAAATCCAGCATCCAGTTTGGCTCCACATGCACCAAACCTACCTATCTACCCCATCACTCCTCTTCCTCTCACCTTCCCATGTGGCTGCAAGAACCCTCTCAGGAGGGCCAGAGAACTGTGGAAAAAGGGGTAATTTTGCTACTTCTCCATCCCTCAGGGGACCCCAGGATCAGCAGGCAAACCAATTTTGAGGCCACTGGGGGAAGGAAGGGGTAAATCACAGGATTACACCTCAATTACAGCTTCCTTTATCTTGCAGGAGCTACTTGACCACCTACCAAATGTGACTGAAGTGTAAGACCCTTTTTCTGCGCGCACACACACACAACACTACTATTGCTTTTCTAACCGAAACTAAAACTAGACTGAATGTGTCCAACAACCTACATGAGAACTGGTTATCAGAGGAAACCTTGAAGCCACTTCTCAGGCAACACTATGAGACTAAGCACGTAAAACGTGGTATTGCTCTATTACTTGGTTGGTCTTACTCTATTACTGCTCCTTCCTTCCCACAGCTTAGCCTCCACATGGGGGTTTTATTTTGCTGATAACAGACACAGGAAGGGGCACAGTACCTTCATTTCCAGGAAATGTTCATTCAAAAGCGGTTTTAACAATTCCAGCTGACAAAACTGGATTCCTCAGCAAGGAGTTTCCTGAGCACCTTACTAGTTCACTGCTGCCTTTAACTGGGTGGTGAAAATATTCACAATACTGATAGCAACAAAATGCACCGTCACCTCAAACTCACTCCAAAGTGATGAGTACATCATGCGACACACATCACTTTTGTTTTCAAATAACATTTTACAGAATTAACTTAAAAGAAAAAGCAACTTTGAAGAGTAACCATCTTCATTGAACATTATATAAAATGACCAGCCATTTATCTACTCTTTATTTACACTATGCAGTAATAAGTTACATAATTTAGAAACTTGATAATGAACCATTCCCTACTAATTTAAAAATATGATACTACAAAGCCATGGGTGCTGCCAAGGCCAACAGACACAGCTGGTACTTCATCACATAAACCCCACACACAAGAGATCTCCATGTTCATTATGGTTGTAAAATGATTTTTTATTGGAAACATAACACAAGGTGCTGCTTATTAAAGGAAAAGCAACAGGTGGGCAAGGAGTTGTACAGTAAGGAAGAAAATTTAACAGTCTAAACTGACATATCAGCAGCAGTTGGTGACCCTGCAGACTCAGGCAGCAAGAACCTGAAATAAACAAAAATCTAAACCTAAACCCATGCCAATTTCAACGCTGCTTTCCTTGCTCAATTTTACAAACACCCAAAGTAGCAAAATAAATTAATCCTCTTACTTCTCATGCTACTAATCTCAGCAATTACTTCAAAAAAAATTTAATATTTGCAGAGTCCAGGACTTTATATTTTCTCTTTATTTTATGAAGAGATGTGACTGAATACCATAAAACCCCATCTTTAAGCTAAAGAAAATGTTTACATAAAGCAGGAGAGCTTCATCAGCTTGGTTTCAACACCAGATACTTATTTGCAGTTTCTCCATTCACCCATAATCCACGGGCACCAGGAATTCACTCATTTTCAACTGTTCTTTTTCTTCTCTCGTGCTCCAAAGCATGATTTTTTATAGAGGTACTTAAGGCCAACATCTCACCCACAAAGGAAAATAGCCATCTTCAAAAATATAAGACTAAACACACAGACTATCACACAAGTTACAAAACCCATGACCAGCTGCTTACTATTTAAAAACTTCCCAGCTATGCATACAAACCCCTCTATCGTGTAAACAGAGCAAGTGAGCTTCATTGAGGCACAGATTTTCTTTCTTTGGTTTTGAAACTGAATAAATAACCCTTATTCAGGGGCTAGATATCAACCATTAGATCAAACCAAACAAAACATCTTGGGCCGGCCAGCCTTCTCCTTGTGCCAGCAAGAGAGTTCATACAATTACGTTTTGTGAACTAAATCTGGGGACCTGGATTAAAATGAAGGTTAGGATTTTTTTTCCAGGTTAATTTTAACCTGGCTCTGTTCCTCAGACCAATTCACCGTGTGGCTGACACTTGTGCTAGCACTGGGAGAAGACGGGGCAGGGCAACATAGCTCTCCTGGCAGCCTTACAGGCTTCTGCCAGCGTAACTGCTCAAGGAGCAGCAGCATTAAATACCTAAGGGAACTACTTCTAATTCCAGAAAGGACAGAGTGCCCCCACTGCTGCTCCCACTTGGATTACTCTCTCTAGACCATTAGTAGAGATGTGGTTACAGCAACCATGTTGGGGACACCTAAGACAGAGATCACACTTGCTTCATGAAAGATGAAGCTGTTAACAACTGCTCACTGCAAGCAGAGCTCAGATCCTGTCAAGCAACCTGCATATGAAAGGTTTTGAATCTTAAAAGCTTTCATAGGTCTTATGCTATGTCCCTGCATAAGCTTGGCAATTACCTAAATTAATGGCTTCAAAACTGTGGTCCCAGAGCTACTGAGCGTAGCTTACAGAACTGGTCTCACTTTTGCAACGTCTTCAGTTTAAATATTACACAGGTATAGCTGCGTGCTGGTTTACAAGAAGCTTTGTGAGTTGGTAACAATCTGATCCTATGAAAAAAACTCAGAAGCCACTGGTCTAAGCCAAGATTTACTAACTTACTCAAAAAAAAAAAAAAGGCAAAAAAAAAAACCTATAATAGATCTATCACTAGATATGAGGGCACAGACAGCTATTATAATGCTACTGCTTCTACTCCGCTCAGAGCATCCTCCTCTCACCCACAAACCTTCCCCAAGGCAGCTTCACCTTCCTGCTTAACACATAAGTTTTTCCTCCAGGTGCTCTCCTTCTTTAAGGACTCTGATCCTATTTGGAGCTTTCCCAGGCAGCAGCAAATTCAGCTGGCAAAGGAGCTTCCTCTACTCCTTACAGAGGAGCAACAAAACTCACCTGCGAGATGTTACTTGTTAGTGCTTTGGAGAAAAATATTAATCAAGGGGAACCGCATAGCTGTCTATGCACTTCCTTACAAAAAAACAGAATTAGGACTTCTCAGGAATGTAAAGCTTATATACTTAGGCAAACAATTCTCTTCCTCTTCAGTATAAATCAGTATCTCCTCTTCAGTATCCCTCACTCAGCTGAGAAGTGCAAATAAACCCCAAATGAGCTGTTGAAAATTTAAAACTGATAAATAAAATCCTAATTCCTCATATTTTATAGTAAATAAAAAAATAAAGAACACTAAACTAAAAAAAAAATCTTTCTACAAATTAACACAAATGTTGCCTTGTCCCCCTCCAATAAAAGGATACTAGATCAATTCTAATAGTCTTAACATAATTATGAAAACTTAGAACACTCCCAGGCCTCAAACTGAACTGCATTTTTTTAATACATATGTTGCTCTATTTTTCTATTAAGCTTCACAGGGCAGCTAAACTTCACAGATTCCATTAACACTTTCATTATGCAACACCTGATGCAGAGCATGATCCTTCCACTTGAGTTTAACAGGGATTCACTCAAGCCCATCTAGGTAGAAAACTGGAAATAGGTGGCTTCTAAATACAGAGGAAAGGGCACTGAATAACTCTGCTGCATAGTAAACAACACAGGCTGAACTCGAAAACTCAACAGGTACACAAAGTAACCCTCAATTCCCTAAAGAGCCAGCCCGGTACTGGGCACCACCACGGACACAGCAGAGGCAGTGTCGCCGGCTGTGTGCTCCAAGCGAGCACAGGTAGGAAGCAGAGGGCAGCAGCCGAGCCGGGGAGAGGCCTTGGCTGGAGGCGCCGGAGAACAAAGCGCCCGCCGCGGGCGGCAGC